CTCATTGGGTTTAGCGGGTCTAAGGCACCAATATCGGCCCATGATATGCTAGGTTAGGATGCTAGATGTTTGGTGACTCTTGCATGGATATGTGATGTTATGCTTGCTAGGCGGAGCCCGATGATTAATATGTTTGCTAGTATCTGGTTATGTTTATATGAACTGTATGTTGGGCGGGGCCCGTTATGCGAGTTAGGGTGAGGCCCGTTATACTCAGAGGGAGGGGCCTATTATGTGAGTTAGGATGAGCCCATTATACTCAGAGGCCGGGGACCATCATGTGAGTTAGGGCAAGGCCTGTTACACTCATCGGGTGGGGCCCATTATATGTATGTTATGTATGGTGTGTGGTATTTTGGGGAAGTGGCTAAGCTTTGTGCTTACGGTTTTCAATTTATGTTTCAGGTACTTCTGGTTCCAAAGGGAAGAGTCCGGGATGATTGTGGAACACACTCCGCCTCATTCCGCATTTTGTGATTCGATTTCATATGAGGATTGATACACTTGTTTTATTTGGATTGTAATGATAATGTTTTTGGAATACTGATTTTATTAAATTAAAATAGAAATTTTTGTGTCTTATTTTTTGGATGTTACAAATGTTCAATCACATCGTGGACACTATGGCTCACGTCGTGGCCACTATGGATCACGTCGTGACCCTCCTCCAAAATGTAAGAATTCAATAAATTAAGTACCTCAAGGATTCAGATGCTACACTTGACCTAGCTACTACTTCAAGCGCTACATCTCACTTTGATTCTCTGCGATCTTCTCACTACAGTCATAGAAAGTGGAATGGATGTCGTTGTAGTTCAGATATTCACATGAATATAAGGAGTTGGGGGAAGGTGGCGGAGCCGACGTGGACGATGTTTTAGGGTTTCTTATCGGAGATTTGTTTGGTTAAAAATGGTAAAGAAGATTTTGCTTTGGTTTGCTTAAAACCCCACATGGGTTTGTTGAGTTTTAATATGCCCACCACCAGCGATTGCTTGGCCTCTAAGGATGGTTGGGTTGTTGGTGGAAATAAACGACGCTTATTAATCCCTGGTCATTAATCCAAGCAGATGTAGCATAGAGTCGACTCGGTAACGAGTATGTGTTGACTCGCCAACTTAGTTGGCAGATAACATGGCACGGTTACCTCCTAAATTGGGTAAAAGTACCTTTTAAAATGGTAAAACAAAAGTTTGTGCCCAAAAAGGAAAAAAAAAAAAAAAGTCAAGATGAACATTTTAAACTAATATATTAAATATTGTTAGGATATAGTGATAATAACCATATATATATATATATATATATATATATATATATCATGGTTCTAAAAAGCGCGCCATGACGCGCCTCAAGGCGTGTCATGGCGTGAGGCGTGGTGTAGCCGTTACGAAAACGTCTCAGGCAAGTTTGTGAAGCGTGACGCCCAAATAACGTGTCAAGGCGCACCTTATCGCGTTATGGCGCGAGTTTTTTTCAAGGCGCGGATTTTTTGTTTTAGTTTTTTTATCGGGCCTAAAATAAATAATTTTTTTTTTAACTTTTTTTTATTAGATATTAATATAACACTTCTAAAAACTTCATATATTTGATAAAATTCGATAATTATATGATTTATATCTTTTAATGTATATAATATAGTCACGCCTTGAAAAACGTTATATATTGTTCGCCAAGGCTTGTCAAGGCTTAACTTTTACCTTACCGCCAAGTCACGCCTTATGTTATTTAGAACCATGATATATATATATATATATATATATATATATATATATATATATATATATATATATATATATATATATATATATATATATATGAATGTTTACTAATGATGAATTAATAGATTTTAAAAATATAAGAACTTCTCATAGACAATTGTAAGGCATTTATTAGTTTTTTAACTATGTTTGGTCTTTGGTGTTAAAGTTAGTATTATACTTCTCTTACATATATTATTATTGGTAATCTGATCCGATATCGATTTTTTTGACATGTTGTTTTTGTCATTGCATTCAAATTGAACACGTAAAGTTGAATCATGCATTCACCACTGAGTAGAAACCGCCTGTATCTTACCCTTCTTTTATCTAGGGATGTCAACGGGGCGGGGAGTGCATCTCCCGCCCCCGTCCCCGAAATTTCCCCGTTCCCCTACCCCCGCCCCTGCCCCCGGAATGTTCAGCCTTCCTACCCCCGCCCCCGCCCCCAAATCCCCTATATTACCCCCGCCCCCGCCCCCGATTGATTTTGGGCTACTTTTTTTTTGGCTAAAAGAAGTTGTTATTTAGTCTAAAATAAGCTATTTTTTAGATAATAAATAATTATTTATAGTAGAATTTTATATGTTAAAAATAAAAAAGTTATGGCATTTTAAAAAATTATACTAACAACTTAAAAACATGTTTTTTGATGAATTTTGAAAGTTCCCACGGAAACGGATCCCACGGGACTTTTTGACATCCCTACTTTTATCCTACTCTTATGAGAATTTGATATTTTTATTTATATTGACATTGTTACTGTTGACACTTGCATATGTTCAAACACACTAGCTATAGCTATAAAGCAAATATTTGACTTGTATGCAAATAAAACCAAACAAATATCTATTCACAAATAGGCCGGCCCTTCGAAATCCTATTATGCGTTTACATCCTCTTTCAAAATCTCATTAGGAAACTGAAAGTTCTGCTATTAAGTATTTAAGCATAACCATGTCCTATCACGAGGTATATGGTAATACTGCATCAAAAAAGATGATCAAATGGTAATATCAATATCAAGAATGTATAACAAATTAAGATCAGTGTGAAGGTTATGTTTTGCTAATCACTTGGTGGAAATTAGGTAATCTAACAAAAAACCCTAATGATATCAAGAATGTAAATCTTGAAGCCGTGACACGAACATTATTGTGGGGGGGACTAAAGGTATGGAAAGTGAAAAGCTCATAGATTCCATTGACAGAATCTATCCTTTACACCCTATTTTGTCTGCTTATATGATGCCTATGGGAAACTTCGCGTAGGGAAGAAACTCTCGAGGTTTATGGATGGAGGATGAGAGGACCATGGCCAAATACACTCATGGTTTTATTCTTGACATGTGGCTTGATCGATAAGAGGACCACTAAATCACCTTCCACTCCCTGCAGCCCCATCTTTCTTTCTCTTTTTTGATCTTTCTTTCATTTGCATGTTTACAAGACCAAGACTTCATTAAGAAAGGGTTCTAATTCAAAATATTTACATAGGTATGTAAATGGTTACATCTTTTTTACTGAAGTCGTCTCAAAAGCTCAACAGTATGCTACCAATAATTCGAATTGAGCATGAGCATTCATATCTTTCTTTTAGGATAAAAGAAACTTCAAAGATTTCCTAGAGGTAATGAACCGACATTTGAGGTCAAATGGTTTACTTACGTACCGAACAGATAACATAGTACATTACACGACCTAGTTAACTCGAATTCAAGGCTTTATGCAAAGGTTAGTGAAAAAGAAAGCTTGAACCTAATGCTTAAAATTGTAAGAACATTTTTATTGTTTTTATAGAAACCATAATAAATTCTCAAATTAATAACCGATTATATGCACCAAGACTTTTGATATTTTATCAAATAAGAACCGAGATCGAAAGACATTTAAGTAATATTGAATCATTGAATGTCTCTTAGTGACAAATGGTGTCTTGTAGAAGCGATGACGAAGAAAGAATGCATTCTTCAACCTTCATTAGGGGAGAAGCCATTAACGGTGAGATCTATTAATGTCGCTGCTAAAAGGTTTGTCACTGTCAAAGACAACTCCCCTAGCTAATGCTCTTATCAACTATCCGTGTGCTTTAGCCAAGTTATTTGGATTGTAAACACCCTCTTATTTGAAATACTTAATTTTTTATTTTCTTTTAAATTGTTAAATGAAATTTGGGACCAAATTCCACATTTGAGTTTTAAAAACATGTAAAAATGATTTCTAAGAATCTAACAATTTTCTAAGCCCATATGAAGGGTGTTACATAAGCATTCTTGATGGGCCCCGCTAATGATTCATGAATTATATACATGAGCGGATGAGCCAAGAAAATGCAGACGAAAATGTTTTTTTCCCATAAAGATAGATTTTTACAAAGCGTTTGATTCATTAAATTGGAAATTCTTGGACACCATAAGTAAACAAATGAACTTTGGTGCTAAATGGAGAAGTTGGACAATGAGTTGTTTTTCATTGGATCCTGCTTTGATTTTAGTCAATGGCTATCCAACAAAGGCATTTGACATCCATAGGGGTAAGACTAGGTGACCCCTTATCCCCTTTCTTTTCATTATTGCAATGAAAGGACTATATATGATGATGAAAGCAACTATCATCACTCACCTTTTCAGAGATATCTCTCCCTAAAAATGGCCCTTTATTGCAACATCAGATGTATACGGATGATGTTATGTTCATCGATGACTAACCTTACCCATCTACTTCGTTGCTTTCATATATATACCTTTAGTGTCAAAGATTAATTTGAATAAAAGCGTACTACACGGTGTTAGGGTGAAAACTTGGAAATTGGAGTTCTATCGTCACCTTCCCCTTCACTTATTATATTGGCATACCAATAGGTGCTTAAATGAAACCAGCCAAGAATTGATATTTGAAGTTCGGTGAAAAGCTTATCTTTTGGTGGGAGAGTCGCACGTGTGAAAATGGAAAGAAAATCTGTTGTGTGGCATGTAATTTACACTTAAATTTATTTAAAATCAAACAAATAACCATATATAAATTTTCCCAAATGTCCGAACTCGTCCGAAACAAAATCTCTCACTACATATTTGGTAATCGCAAGCTTTAAAACTTATATATCATTTATCCTTTCAAATATATAATCAAAAGAAAAACAAAAAACAAAAAAAAGAAAAACACAACAATATTTTACTACTACATACATTTACCATATTCCAAGAAGAAGCAAAAAAATTATATGTTATAACCTCGAAAACTCCGCCTAAATCTGCTGGTTCCATATACAAACCTCCAAATTCAATTCCCCAGACGAATTCAAATACCCAAACGGAACCAAAAGAAAATCCGCAGGTGGAATCCCATCAACCCGACCCGGTAAATTCTGGGTATACGACTTCAATCTCAAAGAACTTCCTCCTCTCTCTGACACAAGATAATACAAAAACCGCTCATCAGCCTCATTGGGCCCAATGCCAGTAATTGTAACAGTGTGCCCAATATTTTCAGTCCCTTTATTCAGTAAAAAAAGAAGCCCATCTTCTTCTGCTTGTAGTACAAGAAAGGTTTCATGCATTCCCAATGACACTGGTAACGGGCAATTGTAGCGGAATCGGCGTCCCGAATCCCAATGTTTTGTGCTGAAATGGTCGGATAGGTTTTCGTATTCCCCATTGAAAGTGCAATTTGGAACAGGGCATTGGTTTTGATCGTACGCGATTCCGATTCCGATTCCGATTCCGTTGTTTTGGTCGTAATCCATTGTATTATTATTATTATTATTATTATTATGATGATGATGATTCACACTCACACTCACATTGTTGTTGTTGTACCCGAAACCTTCGATTTTTGTTGGTAGTGTAATTTGGTCCTTGTAATTCATCACCACGCTTACGCCTCCGCCTCCACCTCCCTACATTAATTTAATGTCCACATATTTTATTATTATTATTAAAATATTATAATAGTTGAGTAGCTAAATCGATAAAGTTACCAGGTGTTGGTGTTCTTCCTGTGGGGCCAGACTACGATAAGCTCTATGACTATCTGGGAGAGTATCAACATGCACCCCAAGACCCCTCTCCTTACAAATCACCTAAACCATAACAAAAATTAAAAACAAACAAATGATAATTTGGTCTTTTGTAATTTAAGCCAACTAAAATATACGATTATATAATTCCTAATGTGGAAGTGGAACTAACTACATTTGTAAACATAAATCTTTACCTCTCCAGATCCATAACCACCAAGCTCTTTCTCTTGTTTTTCTCTCTCAGAAATGTTTTCTTCTGTCCATGAAGATAAACATGGAACAACAACTGGGCCCAGTTCTCCAGGGACTCCAATTGCAACACTCTCATAGTAAAAAAGCTGTTAAATGTAAATATTAACAACCCAAAAAGAAAAAAAACAAATCTTTAATCATCAAAAGAAACAAAAAATAAAAACAAACAAACAAAATCTTGTTTACCTGAAGAAACAATAGACACCCACCAACTGCACGTTGTTTCCCTTGGCGAAAACGTGCAACTTCTCTAACTAACTTATCAAGCAAGAATTTTGCCCAATTGTATTCATGAATAGAATCCATATCTGTCAAAAAATGAAGAAAAGAAGGGCTAACATCCAGTCTTGCAGTAGGGCACAACAAAGTGCCCAAAACATATAAAAGAAACGCCCTTTTGAAGTCCTCTCCTGCTTCTTGTTCACCCAATTTTTCTTCCAAGAAACGGACAGAAATACCCCTGTTAGAAGCATTGTACCTTAGGCGTAAATCTGCTACCACATCATCAGAGCCTGAACTCACCACATCTTTCCCACTTGCTGACAATCCCATTACAAGCTCCACATCAACGGGTGACAAAGGAATTCGTTTTCCACAAATCTCTAAGCTTCTTCTAATGGTGTTAAATCTTTCTAATAACCAAAGACATAAACTTCTGCGTAAAGTTCTACATTTTAGGTCAAGAAGACTTCCAAATCCCATGGATTTCACAGCTTCCTTTTGTTCGGGTGTGAATTGTTTTATCACATTCACTAAACGACCTGGGGAGCACCTTGTCACTAGATTGGCCTGTAAGAATTAAGATAAGTTGTTGAATTAATGAAGTGTTTTGTAACAAATTGTTATTTGAAAAAAGAAAATATTAACCTGTTTTCTTGGTTTTGGTTCACGAGCAGGTGTGGAACTCAAGTAATCATCCCATACTTCACGTGCACGTTTAGTGTAAATTTCTTTCTCTTCAAGGCTCATTACTTTCCAAGCATTTGAGGCTGCTTTTGTTGCCTAAAAGATGATAGATTGATTATATACTAAGATTCTTTGAACTTATGTTTTATGTGTAGATGGTTGAATCAAGATTCATGATTAAAGTGCTTACAACTTTTAGACCAGAGGATTCGGGGTGGGAAGCACTGTACTCCTTGATGAAATCACGGCTAGAATGTTGTTTACATTTGAGTATGTTAATATGAGATGATGTAAGAGAAAGATTATCAGGTGTTTGATAGGTTTTGCATTACCTAAAATGGACCCAAGAGCAAGCTGGACGGGGTGTATGACCTTTTTTATTCTTCTTCTTTCTGCTACTACTCCCTTCAAGCTCGTTATTTGTTATTTCTTTTCTCTTGCTTCCCATTGAATCTTCATCACTTAGCACCTGACACATAGAGAGAGAAGAAAAAAGGTTAAATGAAGCAAAGGTTTTAGATTCATAGAGATGTTAAATTGATAAGAAAGCACCAAACAATTCATTGGGCATACAAATGTCGAGGCTTTCTGTTGGCATCCCCTTAACCTAGGTTGTCCAATACTGTAGACATGCATTCGCTATCATAATCAAAACACTTTAAATTCCAATTGAATCAAGAAAGACACCCCAAATTTGACACCGGAAGAACACTAATTTCGCACTTAAATAGAATAATCAAATCATAAACTGTGCCACTCGTCATAATTCGATCAAAAAGTCTGCATTAAACTAATGTGAATTACAGGTTATAGAAAAAAGTGTTAAAAAGGGAATTTATACCAGTGGTGAGATGTCAGCTCTGTCGAAATCAGGACTATCAGCAGCCATGTATATACAAGAGTATCTGTTAGTTAGGGTTGTGAAAAGGGCCAAAGGGGGAAGCTTCAAATCATTCTTATTTTTCTAGGGTTACGATCCTGATCGAGTGAGTTGGCTAACAGGGGGGGTTTTGCCGATGATCAGGGGAAGGATAAGAGGAATGAAGGAGCATTTGGCGTCCGACGACAACGGATTTTGATGAGTTTCGGCTTCCGATTGGGTTCATTAGCAACTGCTTAGCGCTTTGCCCTTTTGTATTTGTGTAACTTTTCTCTATGCATTTTTGCCATTTCCTACCCTCATTTATCGCATCTTTCACTTTAGTTGCCTTTCTTCTAAATTACTTCTAAAATTAGTCATAGTGTGAGGCTATGATGTCATCTAAAACGATATGTTTATTATCTCATTTTATCTACGTGTGCGAAATTCGAATGTCTTAAGACCTGCTTGGTTTCCTAATTGCAAAGTCATATTTTTCTTCATATTACTTATCTCGAACTTCCGGTTGGCTCTAAGATGAATCTAATTAAAAATTTAACTCAAATTGTTGAAAAGTATCTTTACAAACGCTCATTATAGAAAGCTTGCTCCCTCTCCATTGGTGATAACCTTACTCTTGTCGGAGCGGTTCTTCGAATCCTCCTTTTGTACTACTTCTCTTTATTTAAAGCTCATAAAAAATATATATTGAGTATTAGGAGGAGAATTATTTGTGGCAGCAATCAAACCTCCAAAAAGATTTGTTTCATGTCATATAACAAAATTATAAACAATAAAAATGGTCTTGATGTTGATAGCTTAAGGCCAACCAACTTTGTAGTCTTGTTAAATAATGGTTAAGGTAAAATAAAAACCGCTTTTACATCTTTGTTATTTAACCTATCCATAAAACTAGTGGTAACGATAATGGTTCTCATACCAAGAAAAGTATCTCGAGCACTTGGAAGTGCATCGTGAAAAAAAAAAAAAAAATTGAATGTATAACATTCCAAAAATCAATGCCAAATTTTTATTTTTAAAACCATTCCAAAAAATCATAAATTTTACAAAACATATTTCCAAAAGTAACAATCATGAATCAGAGTATCCCAAAATTATAAAACACATAAAATCCATGATGATGTGCATGATCAAACCTTTGTCTTAACCTTGTCATCTGAAGTACATGAAACTATAAAATAAACTGTAAGCCAAAGCTTAGTGAATTCCCTATACAAACATATAACAACATGTATATTGGGTCCACAATCAGCGGACTAGATTACCTTTGAGCCTACAGCACGAGTCTGGATTGCCCACCTGGCCCATAGCTCATCTCTGGATTGCTCCCGAGCTCACAACATAAGTCTGGCTTGCCTTTCCGACCCTCAGCTTATGTCTGACTTGCTCATGATCCCACCGCATAAGTTTAGCTTGCCTTTCCTACCCTCGGCTTATGTTTAGCTTGCTCCCAAGCCCACATCATAAGTCTGGCTTGCCTTTCCAGCCCTCAGCTCATGTCTGGCTTACCCTCAGGTTTGTTGATTTCTACACAGAGCAATATTGCATCAACCTAACTATACTATGTTTACATATACAACATATAAACATATAACCAACAACAGGTAATCATGCAGATCTAATAGATCACTACAACATAACAGCATCCTGTATTAGGATACATAACCTAGTGGGTCGGAACTGGTGCCTTCGACCCACAAGTACAGCAAGAAAAACTCACATCATAGACTGAAAGATAGCTGAACAGATCATTGCTCCAAATACTGAATCTACCGGTCACCTATAAAATAAACAAGGACCTAATCTCAAACTACTAATCAAACTTGGTCAAAATCAAAAGTCAAAAGTCAAAATCTTAAACCAGGATGAGTACGCCCTACATACTTCATCTCAATGTATGGCATAGAGAGTGCCTTCCAAACTATGTGACTCCAATTTAGTACGTGTTGCGTACTCCTAAGGTACGCCCAACATACTTACATCCATATTTCCTTCTTTATTAAGCACTTATTCCTTCAAGACCTCACGTCTAGAACTCAGATCTAATCCTAAATATCATTCTAAATCATAAAGTTTCCAACTTTATGACTTTGTATGGCTAGAAGGTGCCCAAATGGAGATTAGGGTTTGCAAGGGGTCGTTTAGGAGGATGGAGGCTGAAGGTGGAAGGGTTTATAGGATGTAACGTTGTTTAAATAGGCTTAAACCCTTAGTATTAGGGTTTGATCATCAGTCGAGTATGACCTATGTACTACTTGTGTACGTCATGCGTACACAGAGGCACCCCTGTCACCTTTTAATGACCTACGCCCAACGTATATCCCAAGTACGCCCGACATATGGACCATTTTTGCAACAAATTTACATTTTGAGTCAAGAAAGGAAATTACATGATTTAACTGGGTGTTACAACTCTACCCCACTTGAATCAGATGCCGTCCTCGAATTTTGATGTTGCGAATAACTATAGGTAGTGGTCCTGCATCTCTGCATCGCGTTCCCAAGTTCATTCGGAACCCTTCTGATGCTGCCACTGAACCTTGACCACTGGTACCACCCTGTTGCACAAGGCCTTTGTCTTCCTATCCAAAATTGTCACTGGTCTTTCACACATAGTTTAGGCGCTCATCAACATGTATATCGTCCAAAGGAACCACTGTTGAATCATTAGCTACATACTTTCGTAGCTAAGAAACCTGAAAGGTGTTATGAATTTGACTAAGCTCCTCAAACAGATATAGTCAATAGGCTACCCTACCTACCCTGGTCACTACTCGAAACGGCACATTAAATCATGGCCCCAACTTTCCCCTCTTCCTGAAGCATATTACACCCTTCTAGGGTGATACCCTTAGTAAAACCATATCGCCGACCGGGAATTCCAACTCGGATTGACGTGTGTCTATATAACTCTCATGTCGACCCTAAGTTGTCTGCAACCTCTGCTTGATCTGTTGGATAAGCTACATCGTCTGAAGGACCACCTCGTTCTTCCCCATAACCTTATGATCAACCTCCCCTAATAAACTGGTGTACGACACTTCCTCCCGTAAAGAACTCAAAAGGCGGCGCACCAATACTAGAGTGATAGTTGTTATTGTACGAAAACTCAAACAGGGGAAGGTAGGAGTCCCAACTCCCACCGAAATCTATGACAAAATCTCTCAACATATCCTTGAGTGTCTAGATGGTCCACTCGCTCTGGTCGTAAGTCTACGGACGATAGACGGTGTTGAAGTGCAATCTCGTACCCTAATTCCTCGTGGAACCTCTACTAAAATCGTGAAGTGAATCGAATATATCGATCAGATATAATGGAAACAGAAACACCATGTCGAGCAACAAGCTCGCGCACATACACATCAACCAATTTCTCGGACGACAAACTCTCATGTATAGCCAAGAAGTGAGCACTCTTGGTCAGACGATCCAATATGACCCATATCACATCAAATCCTTTAGTCATCCTGGGTAACTTCGTGATAAATGTTGGATTAGGTATCTAAGCCCATAACTATATTTCGTATGTACTTGACCCGGTTGTAGCATGGTCCTTTTGGGTTGCCTTCACCAAAGCAACTTGATTGGATAAATAATGGAGAAAGAGGTTATTGTGGTTTATTAATATATTATATGAATATATATTAAAGGAGAAATCATGTTGTTAATTAATATTGGTCAAGAATTAATTTAGAATTAATTTTTTTGGTCAAAAGAGATTAATTAAATCAAGGGGACTGATACTGTAATTATAAGATAGATACAAAGTTAGGCTTAGGATCCATAAGGAAGCAATGGACGAATTCTATGTGAGAGTCCACATAGAAATCGTCCAAGGGGCCTTCTGGAAGGATCCTTTGGGCTGCTTAAGGACTAAGAACCTAGATTAGGGTTTTGATTGTAACCCTAACTACTTAGCTATATAAGGAACCCTTGGGGTAATCAAAATCGGCCACTTGAACCCTAAGAAGGAAAGCTAGCCGATTTTGAGCCTCCTCCCCCTCTCTCTAAGATTCTTCGATTGTTTTGGTGTTTGTGATTCATTAGAGGCATCACATTTGAGGTGCTAGGTTATCATTAGCTCAAGATTATCAAGCTATAATCAAAGGTAGCATTCTAACTTGTTTATTAGATGTTGTTTTCGATTTTAGTATGCTAGATTTAGGGTTTAAAAGCTTTGGATGATTATTGCATGTACAATTAGAAAAACCTAGATCCAAAGCTTTAGGGTTTGCATGTGCACCATAGGATTGATGTTTTGCTCATAACCCAACAGTAGTATCAGAGCCTAAGTCATTTTTTCTTTTGTATTTGATGCATAGCTTAGTTATTCAAAGCTGGAAAAGTCAAAAAACCTGCTTCTCACTGATGAACTCGACGAGTCAGGGCTACTCGACGAGTCCAGTATGTGACTCGGCGAGTAGGCTCGTCTATTAGCAGATTTTTTGGGATTTTGACTAGAATTGGGTTGGGATAATTACCATAAATGTTTTTTACTAATAATATTCGATTTTTTCAATATGGTATTGATTATCCTCATCCAATCAGAAGATAGTTGTTAAATAATTAGATAATCACTTGTTTATATGATAATATACATTATTTGTATTATTTAATATGAATTATCTTGTCATAAATTGAATTAGGTTAAATTTAGATAATCACTAATTATTTTATTAATTAAATTATTTAAAATTTGATCGAGAATGTTTTGAAAAGTTTCAAAACTTTCCCTCAAGTTTTGGAATTTAAATTTTTGATTAATAGTTTTAATTTTGAAATATTTAAATTCTAAACCCTAGAATTTTACACGTTTAAAATTCAACCCTTATACTATTATAATATTATAAGATTAATAATTATATATATGTATAATATAAGCTAGTCTTACCGTTAGTAGGCCTCATTCACGAAGCCGGTCTATAAGGGGGGTATAAGGAAACTGTCTATAAAATGGCGGTTGAATGAGTGTCCACTCTCACTCACCGCTTTCTTGAGTGGTGGAGGGTCGTTAGCCGAACGGGTAGGATATGCAACTAATTCCTCATTAATAATTATAATGATCTATAAAGTAACTAAATGTTTTTATAAATTCCCAATCTTAGTTACTTTAGGAAAAATGTTAAAATGATGTTATTCCATGAAATTACACTTTGCACCTTGCCAAGTCGTTAGTGGAGCATGCGTGGATACACGGAACACTAATTTGGGATTAGCAAGGGTGGAAAAGGGTAGCTCGATGTTTATCATAAATCAATGGAGCGTGTATGGTTAACCAGCACATTGATTAGGTGGTAAATGACATCGAG